AGGACTGAGCTCAGGTAAACCCAGTGGTTCCCCACTCATTCACAAACCCCCTCGAGAGCAAGCAGGTATGGAGCCCAGGGCTCCAAAACCAGCTCAGAGTAGGACAGGTCGGCCCTCAGGCCCTCACAGCACTGACACGATCATCTACAGTGAGTCACTCAGGTTTACACTCTGCGTGATAGGAAGGAGACCAGGCACGTTCCCTGGGGCATCCTCATTCCCCAGGGCCTGATGTCAGTGCCTCTGCATGCCACCAGCATGCCACCTTTCCTCCTGCCATAGAACTTCGGGATGTCAGCCCCTATGGTCCCACAGGTCTCTCCCTTCCCCTAATGAATTCCCCTCATCCTTCACACACAGGCCCATCAAGTCATGTATGAATGAGGCTTTCTGGTTTCACCGCCTTGGCTTCGCTCGGCTGTTCTGCAGGAGCTGGGGCGGCCTTTCCCAGGGAAGATGGTATGGAAGGGAAAAGCTTACGGTGGCAGAGGCAGGAATGTCAGCCAAAGTTTCTTAATATGTGGACAAATTGATCACCGGGAGAACTGTTACTGATCCAGACGTTTATGCATCCATTGCTCTCGGATTTGGGGAGGGAATCATCTGTTAATAAGAAGGACTCCGCAGCTTTAGCTGTTTTGGGGGCTGGGGCAGGAGAATCCAAATACCCCAAAGTGAAGAGGAGATGATGGGTGGGCAGATGACGTTTTGGCTTCGAAGTGAACAATATTAAGAGAGTACTGCAGGGTGGGAGGTAGCAATAGTTGATATTTATTTAGCACTTACTGCATGCCCCAAAGCAGACCTAAGTCCTTCATATTTACTTTCTGATTTAACCCTTACAATCACCCTATAGAGTAGGCCTTGGTATGAAGCCTATTTTTCAGATGAGGACATTGAGGCACACAGAGGGAAAGACCCGTCCTCAAGGTCACATAGCTAGAATGAAATGAAGGCAGGACCAGAGCCCACGTGGTCTGAGCCTGGCTCTCTCTTCTTAAACACCACTCAGAGTGACAAATGGGGAACAGGTGCATGAAAAAGGTGAGCTGGTTACAGGAGCATCTGCAGACACAAGTGTGAATGGGGACAGGAACGTACAAAGGGTGAAGGAGCAAGGGACAGAAGGAAGAAGAGACCGGAAGGGGACGTGGAGGGCTTCCTAAGAGAGGCTCTGCTAGGAAGTTCAGGTGCTTCAGAGCAAACAGCAGTGGAGGATGAGAGTTGACAGAAGGCTTGGCACCTGGCTTCTTGGTGACGTTGAAAAGAGCATTATCTGTCTGGTGGCAGGGCAGCCTGCAGAGGGAAGAACCCAGCCCAATGGGAGAATGGGATGGTCCATGATGGGTTTCCAGAAGCCTGGCCATGAAAGCAGGAGGCAGAACGTCCACCTGATTTGGAAGGCAGGGGTTGGGTCAGAAGCGTGCAGATGTGTAAGCCAGCCACAGCTGAAAGGCCCGAGGACAGATAAAGCAACTTTGCAAGGAGGCTGGGGGCTGTGTTCACATCCCATGCAGAGGCTCGCGGGACCCAGCCACTATGTGCCAACCAGAAACCCTCTCTGGGGCACTAATTTCTTCCCTAGGACTTTGTCTCTGAGCTGGTTCCTGCTGGCACAGAATTACCCAAGGAGTTGGTCTGGGTCACAAGAATCAGGGGTGGTTGGCTTAAAAAAAACAGCATCCCACAGTCAAGGAATTATAGGAACTCTGGATGAATGAGGTTCAACTGGTTTCTTTGAAGCTAAAACTTCTTGGATCCTTCTACAGTAATGGACAGAGAACAAGAATCCCAAGTTTCCGGTCTCTGGGTTTGTGTCCGGGACCATCTAGGAGAACCAGCGTTCTCCTGTGTTCACCAGGAAAGGCAAGTGTTGGCCCGTAAGCCTGGAAAACGTTCCTGCTCGTTCCTGCCAGCACTTTACTAAGGGCAAAGTTACCCCAGCGACTCTGCCTGCTATCTCTTCCTCCACGTGCATTCTAGCAGCGTGTTTGCTCTTGTTCTTGATTCTCACAGCACACAATGAAGGTCCTTCAAGGGAAAAGCACTTTCAATGGGTCTCTCAAAACTCTTGTTGAACATGAAAGCTCAGCTGACTGGGGCATTTTCATTCTTTTAAAAAAGAAAAATCAACTTTCTGGGTGACGAGGATGTCATTAAAGAAATGACCTGGGTTCATGGGCTGCTGGAATGGGGGCTGGGCCCAGGGCTACTCAGCCCTCTGACACTTCACAGGGTGACTCATGCTCTGGTGTCCCAAGAGTTGAATTCCTGGAAGGAAAATATCCATGGTGTACGGTGTCAAGAAAGACAGATGAGGGTGATCTCAACCTTGACTGAGAAATGCCCAAGAGAGACAAGAAAGGAAGGGAGGGAGGAAGGGAGGGAGGGAGGAGAAAGAAAGAACCCACAGAGAAGGAAAGAGAGAGAGGGAGAGGGAGAGGGAGGGAGAAAATAGGAGGAGGAAGAAGAGAAGGGGATGTGGGGGGAGGGGGAGGAAGGGAGGCAGGAGGGAGAGCATCATGGGGATGCCGGGCAGAAGTGAAATGGGAAGGAAGAGGTCGAGCATTTACTGAAAGTCCTTTGTGTGCTTGGGAAAGACAAATAGAGTTGTTGGAGTAATAACTTTTGTAACAAATCACAGGCAGTCATTTGACAGAGGTTTTGGAAAATGAGAACCAATAAAATCCCCAAGGAATATAAACCACCTTTGGAAAAGACTGTGAGCCAAGATCAAGACTAAGCGCTGTCAAAGCCCATATTATGAGAAATCTACAAAACAGATGCTCTGGAAAATGAATGAGTAGGAAAGGGCCCTGACCACCAGAATGTGCAGGCAGAAGTGGAAAAACACAGAGGCAGGGTTTCCACCCACTACGTGCTCCTCTGACATTTCAGCAGGCACCCAACCCCAGTCCCTTTGCTGCATCCTGGGACACACATCTGACCGTGCGGCACCAGGTACCAACAGGAAAGTTTACCCTTCACCCCCACAGAGCCAATTCTCCTGCCAGCTCACCAGGTATCTACAGACTGCAGAGATCGTGAGGTTGTGATAGGAGATTTCAAGTAGCAGAGGGAAGGAATGAGGAAGAAGCAAGTTTTATTCACTCTCTGGGCAATCACCTAGCATTCCCTTGCTAACCTGTCTGGCTACTACCTCAGCTGAATCCCCATTCCACTAATACCCATTCTGCACCTCTTATGACAGAGACCATCTTCCCGTCCAGATTGGTGGTGTTTCCATCTTAATTTTTTCTCAGCGATCATGATTTCAGTACCTTCTGCTTTGGGACAGAAAGTCCATTAGGTCAGTTCTCAATACCTTAAATTCACACCCCGAAGCCCTTGTTCAGGTCTCATTCATCTAAATGCTGGATAAGGACAGCTGGAGGACCAAGGATCCACGTGGGTCCTGGCTCCCCAGCGTTCTGAGCCTGTGGAGGGATGGGGGCCCTCATGGATCCCTACAGGTCCTCTGTAGAGTGACCCATCCTGACCAAGACAAGAAGAAGAATCAGTACAGCAGTGGGATTTCGTGGTGTCTCGAGTTCTTTTCTACAGGTAAAAACTGTTTAGAAAAAGAACAACAGCTTCACCAGGTGGCAGATCTCAAAGGGGGAAAAAAGTAGGGGACAAGGAGCGACAGCAGGACAGAACTGCCCAGACAGACTCTGGGGAAACCAAATGAAACCAGACTTCTTTGAGATGAAGCAGTAGGAGACACAGCTGGAGAGGTGGAGGCAGCAGTGCGGGGTGACCTCTTTGAAGGGCAAAACGCAGTTCCTTCTGCTAGACTCTGAGCAGCCACAGAAGAAGTGGCTCAGCTTCCCGGGAGCAGAAGAGCCTCGGGAGGCCATGTGTGTTCACAGGCTGGGTGAACCAGCAGGAAACAGAAAGCCACAGAGAAAAAAGCACAACGGTGAAAGCAAGCCACACTCTGTCGCCCTACGTGACCTGCTGTCCGTGGCCACCTCTAGGTGATGTGGGCAGAGTTGAGTAGTTGCAACAGAGCCTGTGTGGTCCACAAAGCCTACACTATTTCCTGCCCAGCCATTTACATGAAATATCCCCTCCTCTAGACCCTGCCCCTGAAGCCGGCCTGACTCCTGCAGGTGGCACGGCTGCTGCCCAACGGGGCCCCTCGTGGCAAGTAGAGGCTCATTAAAAAATTCCTGCCACACAGCCAAAGCCATTTTATATTCACAAATGACTGAACAAAAGGTATGGGAACGCCAGACTCCTGTGAAATGCCAGGTGCACAAGGTGAAGGTGTTGAGAGGCTCAAATCTGGTCCTGCTGGTCTTACACACATACAGTCCTTGACAATCGAATGTTCCAACATTACTCCCCAGAAAGGCCCTTGCTTCTGAAATAACTTTGAGAATTTCCCCTCACTAAGTGGCAACCCAAACTCTGGTGGCAAAAAAAGAAAGGGATAAATTTTAAAAAGGGGCACCTTCCGGTTAATTTGTACGTTTAGTTGGGGCATGACTTAGGAATTGTCCCAGAATATCCCCCTTGTTCATCCATTCCTGGCATGTGAGCCCGCACACAAGCATACACCGCTACCATTTCTTAATTATGGAGCCAAATTAATTTATACACACGTGTGTGTATGTGTGTGTGCACACAAGTGATCGTAGATATAATTTATGCCAAAAATTTAACAATGCAAATAATTGGCTTCCAAGGATTGATTGATATGTATATTTTTTAAATTCTTGGAGGCAGTAACGAGCAAATCCTTCCACATACAACTCGATTTTAAGACACACTAACCAAGACCTCCTATTTTCCCCTCCACAGGACCTGTGAGGTGTGGCCTTCCTGCCTGCCATGCTGAGGGCGACAGGTACTTGTCCAAGCCCATCCTAGGAGGAGATCAGAAAAGGAACAGGCCCTCCTAGACCATGTGAAACAGATGGTTCTCCTTGGCATAGGTCACTGTGACCCATGTGAGCATCTACCAGTGTCCCCAGCCACGAGCCTCCAGCTACCTTTCCTGAAGGTGTCCCGGCCTTGCTCGGCTTCTCTGTTGATCCGATTCTGCTCTGGCTCAGCGGCAGGCCCCTGGTCATCCAGCTCATCTTCGGTTTCATCATCGCTGTAGGGGACCACTTCATCATTGGGCTGAGAGTCCTCCTCAAATGTTGTTTCTGAGTCTCTTTCCGTGGTCATTCTGCTGGTGAACTGGGACTATCTGGTGGGAAACAAAGCAAACCAGGGAGAATTATTGGCTGCTGCCCAGGTTTGGGTCGTGAGTCTCTACCCAGGAAAATAAATTTAGTGGCCACACCCAACATCAAAAAGCCAGTCCCACAAAACCAAAGGCGGAATGTTTTCTCTAATATACGGTGCTAATTCACAATAAGGCGGGGGGCACTAGGGAAGAATAATAGGGTTACCTTAAATTAGGTAGAGGGAAGTGAGGGGAGGAGAGGGGAGGGGAAATGGGGATAGGTAAGACTGTAGAATGAAACAGACATTATTACTGTATGTGTATATGTGACGACATGACCAATATGATTCTGCAACATGTACACTCAGAAAAATGAGAAATTATATCCCATCTATGTATGATATATTAAAGTACATAAATGCATTCTACTGTTATGTATAACTAATTAAAAGAAATTTTAAAAATTAAAAAAAAATATAATGAAATAGGCAGGTGCAGTGGTGAACACCTGCAATCCCAGTGGATCGGGAGGCTGAGACAGGCTGGGGTTACGGCTCAGAGGTTGAGGGCCCCTGAGATGAATCCCAGGTACAAAAAACAAAACAAACACAAAAACCCTCAATGAAACAGACTGAAAAATATCAGAGTATTGTTCACGTGGTAAGAATAAATGCCTTTTGTTAAAAGTTTCACAAAAGTCTCTCTCTCTCTCTCTCTCTCTCTCTCTCTCTCTCTCACACACACACACACACACACACACACACACACACACACACACACACCCCACATTTATCTGCATTGTGGTATGGATGGAACTGAATTTCTTAGGCTGACAGAGTTGGAAAACCACTGCCCTAAGAGGCCTGGTTTCTGCTAATGCTAATGAGCCTTTGTTCTGTGACACATTTTAAATACAACCTGAGGTCCTTCAATTTCACTGGTGACTTTGAGGGATCACACCTCACCTTTCCACCTCCATTCACTCCCCTATCTGGAGTTTGTGTACCTACTATTGCATAAGTGACTGTACATAACTAAGAAGTACACATTTAGTTATATTTATGTTGGGAAAACATTTACATAAATGGCTCAGGTTGCTCAAGGACAGACATACAACCTGGACTATTTATACAAGCCTCACATTGCCAGGGACTCAGTATTGTTACTAATAGCAGCTCACATTTATTTGGTGTTAACTTTGCACCAGGCCCTAAACGAGGAGCTTGGTAGACATTGGCTCCCTGAAACTTTTAATGTCACCCTGATGAAGGTATTATTGTTACTTGTACTGAGAAGACAATCCAAACTCTAAGACATTAAATAACTTGCACAGTAATTATTAACATTGCGCAGAAAAAACAATTGCTTTCCAAGGAGAGGTCTCCTGTATTCCATGTCTGTTATAAATTATTATGTATTTTAATTTGAGTTTAAATTGCTTTGAGTGGAAGTATTTAGCTGACTTCATGTTTGACACCAAATCTAGCATCTTGGGCATCTAAAATAATTTTTATACTTCAGAAAATTTCAAGTACTTCTTTGAGCATTTTGATCCAGTGTACTTAAAACAGTAAAAACCAGAAGCAACCTGGATGCCCAAGAATTACTGATTGTATAGATGAATCATTGCATCTTTATATGGTGGGACAGTGCACGCTAATTTAGACTATGATTGGCAGAGCATTTAGTGATATCAAAAAAGTCCAAACATATTAAATTGAAAGGTGAGTTATAAATCCACATGTCCAGAATAGTCCCAAAGTTTTCAAAAACTGATGTGCATTATTTTTAAGTGAAAGGACCCATACCACGGGCTCAACTCAGTTGATAGCCCACAGTGAGAATTCGATAAACAGCCATTATTATTGTTAACTATTATCTTCATATTTAGAAAACTAGAAGTGGGTGGGTCTCTATCACTGTGAGCTTTTCCATCTCCAGAATTACCTGTACAATGTTCTCTGTACCTCATTGGGAAGTAATAAGTTAGACTATTATCCCCTTTAAAATATGAGTCTACTTAATTTGTAGATTTCAGCTCAGGTATTAAACATTTGCTCTCCAAATATAAGTCTATTTAGAAATTTCTAAACTCTTAAAGGCAAATTTCACCAAAAAAACTTTCAAGAACAAAAATAATAAGAATGGCTACCATGTATTGAGCTCCCACTGTGTACAGAGCAGGGCAACCCCCATGAGACAGATGTCATTATTCGATCTTACAAATACGGAGACCGAGGCTCAGCTGGTGATTGGCAGTTAGGATCCAAGCTCTCCACTATGGGCATCTATAAGATATTGAACTATCTAAAAGCACTGTATAGAAACGTTTTTTATTTGGTAACATGCATCCCACATGATTTTTCCACTTTGACCATTGTGTTAGTCCATTTTCTGTTCTTATGTACAATAGAATACTCAAGACTACTGGAATAAGAAGAATCAAGGTTCATGTAGCTCACAGTTCGAGAGTCACGGGAAGTCCAAGGACAGGTGCCACCTGTCCAAATACCTGGCGAGGCCTTCTTGCTGATCCCGACATGTGACAGGCATCACATGGCAAGACAGCAATCGCTCCAGCTCAGGTCTTTCTGCTTCTTCTTATAAAGCCACTAATACCATCCCAGGACCCTCGTGACCTCATCTAATCTTCATTACCTCCCAAAGGCCCACCTCCGAATGCCATTGACAGATGACTCTGGGGATTTGGTTTTGCACACATGAATTCTGGGGACATGCCCACACCACAACATTCGGTTTTGAATGTTGTTCAGTGGCATTAGGTGCACCGTATAGAAACATTTGGCAAGCAATTGTTTTCATCGTTGCTCCCAAACTCCCAAGCATCTGGATGCTTCTTTCCCCTGTTAGAGCCTGCATCCAGTTCTTCCAGGTTGAGGGAGGGGCAGACAACTGTGAAGAACAGATCCAAATGAGCAAGGTATGTCTCTCCAACCCCCACCACCCAGACAGATCTGGAGAGGCTGAGTTGGAGGGCAGAGGCAGGACGTACCAAGGTCAAGTTCTCTGGCTGTGTGTGTAATGCAGATACACACAGGAATCACACAACTCTGTTAATTAAGACAACCAAGGAAAAACTAGGAAGGACTCACTTCTTTGAAGTCTTAAGTGGCATAAGGAAGCTTTCCAAACCTGAACCATCCTCCCTGAAGACAGGCACAACAGACAGGATGGATTTGGAAACTTTATAATATCCTTGGCCTTGCTCCACAATACTGAAGACAGGGGCACCTTAATCAGCATCCATTAAGCACCTGTGAGGTCCCAAGCACTAGAACCCTGGAAACAGAACCACTTAGAGACTTTCGGGTTACTGAGGGACAGACATGTAAGCTGCCAAGAATGGCCAGAGGGTACAACAAGACTGGCCCCGAACACCTCGGGTCCATCCCCTCCTCTCCATCCCACGGCCACCAACCTCACTCAGGACACTGTCATACCTCTCCCAAAATGAGGCAGAGCCTCTAAGGAAACTTTCCATAATGAACCTTCACACAGCCACCAGAGTCAGGCCATTATCCATTGCTATGGACTGATTATGGCTCCACACCCCGAAGTTCACACGCTCAAGGTTTGTAGACCTTTCAGGACACACTTAAGGTTAAACAAGGACATCAGGCTGAGGCCCCCATGCGGCAGTACCGATGCCCTTATAAGAAGAACACACCCCAAAGGTCTCTCCCCTCCCCTCCGCATGCACACAGGGAAATGACCAGGAAAGAGGACAGCAAGATAATAGTTGTCTACAAGTCAGAGCAACAGGCCTTACCAGAAGCCAGCACTGTTGGCACCTCAGCCTTGGACTTCAGTCTCTACAACTACGAGAAAATAAGTGCCTCGTTTCTGCCACCCAGGCTGTGGTATTTTGTCATGGCAGCCTGGGTAGACTCAAACGCTGTGGTTTCTCACTGTGCTCCAGCTGCACAGTCTTCCCAACTCCAAGAGCTCTCCAGACTCCTCCTTCTCAGTCCCATGGGTCTGCTCCGCTTTCTTAAGCAAATAAGCCTTTCCTACCTTGGGGCATTTGCACAGGCTGGTTCTTCTGCTGAAATGCTCTTCTCCTGGTTCCTTGCATGACCGTTTCCTCATTCTTTAAGTCTCCACTTTAAAATTCCCTTCCACTGATGGCATTGAACAGGTATCTGCCCTCCTCTTTTGCTACCACTGGCCTCCTGACCACTGACGATTCTGCTTCCTTCCTAGTGCTTACCACAATTTATAAATACATACTTGCTTTTACTTACTTATCATCTGCCTCTCCCACTAGACCATAAGAACAGAGCGCAGTCTGGGAAATGCTCAGTACCACACAGTTGACTTTCAAAGACTCGGAGGAAAAGAAAATCCACCTTCAAAAAAAAGTCCTGGAGGATTCTGAGAACCAAAGTTCCTCCCCATCCATCTACGTTCAATACCTACCACACAGCCCCAGATTCCAACAGTGACCGGATGAAGGTTTGTAGACCTTTCAGGACACACTTAAGGTTAAACAAGGACATCAGGCTGAGGCCCCCATGCGGCAATACCGATGCCCTTATAAGAAGAAGAACACACACCAAAGGTCTCTCCCCTCCGCATGCACACAGGGAAATGACCTGTGTCATTTCTGCTTGAGGGCAATGGTGAGAGACAAGAGGAGCAGACAAGTCGAGAAGCCCTGCACGATGCAGCTTTTGTAGGAGTCTGACTCATTCAAGGCCAACAAAAACTTATTACCTGAGATTTTATCATGCACACAAAATGAAATGAGGCTTCCGGTAAGATACTGCAGGTTTTAAAGGTGAGGGTCCATCTCTCTTGCTTATCATAGTAACTCCAGCACCTGGTACAGGTGTCTGCTACAGAGAACCCAGTTTCCCCTTGGTCCTAAGAGGCTTATAGTCTAGGCAGCAGGTGGCAATCATACCCCAGGACCATTGGCCATTCTACCTGTTTTCTTAGGCCTTACGGGACACACCTTTGCTCATTTCTTTATGAGCTGTCTCTGGATGCTTCAGCACTACCACAGCAAAACAG